TTTTGATTACATGAAATTTTAAAAAGCTGTTGTACAACCAAAATTAATGTGCCAAAATTAGAAGGAAATCTGGAAACTGGGGAAAATTTTATAGCAAGTTCCTTGAGAAAGGCCTTATTTCTCAAATATTTAAGGAACTGAGACAAATTCATATAAATAAAGGCCAATCCCTAATTAAAAATTGGTCAAAATATGTGAATAGGAAGTTTTCAGAAAAAGAAACCAAAGCTAAAAAAGAAACCAAAGTCATGTGAAAAAAATGCTCTAAATCACTACTAATTAGAGAAATGCAAGCATTCCATCACATACCTATCAGATAGGCTAACATGACAGAAAAGGAGAATGACAAATGTTTGAGGGATATAGAAAAATTGGTACACTAAGTATTGTTGGTGAAGTGGTGAACTACTCCAGCAATTCTGGCAGACAATTTAGAACTATGTCCAAAGGGCTATACAACTATTCATATCCTTTGACCCAGAAATACCATTGCTGGGTTTTATCTCAAGAGATCCAGAGAAAAAAGTAAAACAAAAAAGGCCTATTTGTACAAATATACTTATAGCAGCTCTTTTTGTGGTGTCAAAGCATAGGAAATCAAGGGTATGCCCATCAAATACGAAATGGCTGAACAAATTATGGTGTATAATTGTGAAGGAATATGATTGTTCTATAAGAAATGATAAGCAGGATGGTTTCAGAAAAATCTGAGAAGACTTACATGAACTATTACAAAGTGAAGTGGGGAGAACTTTGCACACAGTAACAGCAACATCAACTGTGAAAGACTTAGCTACTCTAATTAAGGCAATGATCAAAGATAATCCCAAAGGAACCATGATGAGACATGCCAAACAATTCCAGAGAGAGAACTGATGAATTCTGTATACAGATTGGATCATTCTTTTTTTTTTTACTTTCTTTTTTAAAAAATGTTTTGTGTTTTCTTTTGTAACATGGTTAATATAGTAGGATGTTTTGCATGACTCCACATATATAATCAAAATCAAATTGCTTACTTTCTCAAGGAGGGGAAATGGATGGGAAAAAAAGTAAATGATTTGGAATTCAATTTTTAAAAGATTATTAATTATTTTATATGTAATTCAGAAATATTTAATTCAATAAATAAAAAAGAAGCAACTATCCGAGTGTAAATCTGTACTAAAAAATGGTATGTTCACAGATGACAGAATATACTACTCTTAGCCATTATTTTTGTATTGACAGGGGAAAACGTACACAAATACAAATAGCTCCTCTTTAATATAGTCTGTTTTTGTTATTCTCCTTACATTATACCCCATTGAGACTTAATCACACTTTAAATAGAGGCTAATTTGCTGAACATCTCCATGCCTGTCTTTTAAGCTTCTCTTGCATCCCAAAAAGTCAGCATGATAAAGTCCAATTACTTCCCATAAAATGACACACTGGGTAATTGCTACACAATCAAGCTGTTGCATTGCTGCAGTTTTATGCCCTATACTGCTGTGTACAATATCTGATAGTACTAGACCTGTTGTCACTTTAGAATTATGCAGTTTTTCAGTTTGTTAAAATAGACTCTGAAGTGTTCCATCTTTGTCATCCAATACACACAAGCCCAGAAAACACAATATAATCATAATGGCAGCTAATAATTTTCAGATTAAGTGATTCATATAGCATCTTCTATTCAATGATGCTATAGGGATTATTTTTTCAATATGTTATTACTAGGAAATTATTCCCTTACTTGGAAATCTTCATCATTTTATTGGAGTATTTGATAGCCTAATCTGTGATGATATCTCTCAATTTATATTATGCCAATGTATATTGGGGACATATAATTTGGGAAGTAACACTGTACACCTAAACTAGTTTACTCTAGAACATGGTAACTGTCTTAATGTAAACTATGTGGTGATTTCCATAAAAAATAGTAGACAAAATTGAGGTTTATAATGTGATTAAAACTTTTCCAATTCAATTACACAAAGAGTTCTTTAAGGAATCAGTGAAGAAAATATAATTAGAACATGCAGATAAAGTGTTTCACATAATTTAAAGGATACATTTATAGGGCTTTCTCATCATTTAAAATCATATGTTTCCCTTAGAAAAAAACAGTAATTAAGCTATCCAAGTGAAGCCAAGCAGCACCATGACTTATTTTCATGATTTTATCAAGCTATTTTAGAATTAATAAAAGGTCACATGATTATAATTCTAATACTTTAGGTGAATGGAATTGATTCAATTGATTGACAAAATTTAATAATTCCATATTCATTATTGTGCATTAGACCTAAACTAAAAAGGAATGATATAGATGCCTACCATCCTTCTCCAAATAGTATGAGGACTGAGGGAAAAAAAAGATACATTATTTTTCTTATCCCTATTCATTTTCATTTTTGGTGATCTCTTTATTTGTTAATTTAGGAACTATAAAAAATAAAGAACATCTAAACGAGGGGTGGGAAATCTGTGGCCTTGAGGCCACATGTGGCCTTCTAGGTCTTTGGGTACAGCTTTTTTTATTGAATTCAAATTTTACAGAACAAATCTTTTTATTAAGGAGATTCCTTTTGTGACATTTGGATTCAGTCAAAGGGCCGCATTTGAGAATCTAGAGGGCCACATGTGGCCTTGAGGCCACAGGTTCCCCAGCCCTGGTCTAAACCTTGTTATTTCCTCTTTTCAATAAAAACAGTTCCTGGAGGAGCGTGCAGTGATTTTATCATTTTTACTTTTTTTCCTGCCCACCTTTATTCAAACTCTTACAGAAATAATGACATCTTCCATGAAAATGAAGCAATTTGGATTTAATTTCTAAAGATAAAACTGAATTCAAGATGAAAAAAAGTCTGTTCAAATATGTTTAACAATAATAGATGTTATTATAAAAGTTAAGCAATTGCATTGATTGGGTTTAAGAGTGGGGACCAGGAAAGGTCTATTACAGAAGGTGACATCTGACCTGAGTATTAAAGGATGGCTGGTAAGGTAAGAGTCAAATGAGATAGGAGAACATTCCAAGCATGTAAAACAGATAACACAAAGGCATAGAGTACAGAGATGAAGTGTCCTGTGAACAGTAAGTACTACATTGTTTTAGATCATAGAGTACAGAGAGGGGAATAAAGTGTAAAAGGACTGGAAAGGTTGGGGGGAGAGGGCAAAGGGACAGGTTATGAGGGACTAAAATTGCCAAACCAAGGACTTTATATTTATTCCTGGAGATTTCTCAGGAACTGCTGGGGTTTACTAAGGGGACATGATGATATGATTAGAACTATGCTTTAGGAAAAAACTCATTTGCATGGGGTGGAAAGATATTAGAAGGTGGGAGAGAAATTAAAAGGTTTTTTTGCAAATAGCCCAAGTGAGAGGTGATGAACCACCTGGAAGGTGGCTATGTGAAAGGACAGAAAAGTAGACAATATATTGGATATGTGGGGTGAGTATGGGTGTGGAATACATATAATGAGTTCATCAGTACAGAAGAAATGGCAAAATAAAAAAAGACATGGGATTCTGAATTTGATGATACATGCTTTTTTTTTAAATCAGACTCCTTTTTATTGGGTGAACTATTAATTCAAGTTTATACCAACCCAATCTATGAATTGTTCCTTAAAACACCACCACCTACAAATAAAAGACAACTAAAAAGCCCTTTGTTCACCTCCTTAATGGATTTGACCTGGAATATAGTGCCAGCTTTTTAAAAGAAATAATTACAAGCTACTGTCTACTAAAGTCATTATAACCTTAGAATGTTAGAATTATATGAAATTTCAGAAAATATATTTCATGTCCCTCATTTTTTGCAGAAAAAGATAAACTTCAAAAAGTATAAATTACAAGCCCCAAGGCAAAATCCCCAAATGATTCAACTTTGAATTTGTCATACAATGAAAAAAAAAAAAGATATCCAGCAGAAAAAAGGTTTTCTCCCTTTGTGGATCTCCTGTAATTCTGAGGCAATTAAGACACCAGCACCAATTTATGCCTTACCTTATATATTACCGATTTACTCAGGAATTAAGAATCTCCTGATTGAGGATGAAAAACCCACATGCATTTATTTCTGTGGTTTTCCAAGAGAAGTCCAAAGACCTTGGTTTGTCTCAAGGGTGTGTACATTAAGCTGTACTCATCAATATGTATAATATGAGAAACATCTATAACTTTAGTTCTGGCATAAACTGGGATTTTTCATAAAATGCAAACATTTCAAACAAGATACAGCTACAGTAGAAGAGGTAATGTGTTGTTTTATTGAAGTAATCCATGGGCAGAAAAAAAAAAGATTTTAAAACTACTGTTTTATCTGAATCCTAATGATCATTTATTTGCTTCTGCTGTTACATACCACTTACTAGTCACACCATCAAATTACCATTGAGGAAAATTGTAGATTATAATAATGTCAATATATATTCATATTAGGTAATATGAAACTACCACTCGGCTTCCATATATGGCACTCAGAGACTGACATTTAAGCGTGATTGAATAGTTCATCTAAAAACACTGCAAATATGATCTTCTAAAAACAATAAATATATTTTTCATCAGTGAAATTCCTTAATTTTTTTAACCAAAGTTAACAATATGACTAGCTCTCAGGGAAGTGATTTATTATATCTTTAAAAAAAACAAACATGGGGCAGCTAGGTGGCACAGTGAATAGAGAGAGAACCAGCCCTGGAGTCAGGAGGACTTGAGTTCAAATCCGGCCTCAGACACATAACACTTACTAGCTGTGTGACCCTGGGCAAGTCACTTAACCCCATTACCTAGCCAAAAAACAACAACAACAACAACAACAAAAACAAACAACCTTTCCTATGACATATCAAAATAAAAATATAATAAAATCCAGACCACAATTTAAGCTACCAGTAAATAAAAAAGCATTTTTGAAATCTGCATTATCACATGAGTTTTAATACTAGAACATTTTTGTTTATATATGAGATGTAAATATTGTTCTCTACACTTACCAGGTGATTTTATGCCACTTCACTGAACACAGGCTGTAATATATTTGGGCTTCTTATTGCTTGAGTAGAAAGTGCTCATCATTGTCTATTATTTTATGTTTATAATATAGAAAAAAAATGAAAGCAGTTTTCAAGTGGCATACATCACACTGTTGTAGTGGTTGATTTCCTCAAGATGGTCTTCTGTGGTTTAGGTGCAGTGGGTGGAGGCACAGTTGCAGGTCTGAGAGGGGGAAAACTGTTACTGTGGCTTATTCCCAACCCTCCATTTTCCAGAGGAAAAGGAGGGAGAGGTGGTGGGGGGGGTGGGAGAGGAGGGCACTGGTGAGGAAGCTTTCCCGACATGTGAAGGGATTCGCTATGGATGTGGACCTCTCGGTTTTTTATGTTATACCGGACATCACAGTCAGGACAATACCCATGGTATTGCACCTTTTCACTAAATCGTACCCGTTCCCGTGTTCCTGCCTGGGGACACCTGTCCTTCTGAGGTCTGTGCATCAGAGGCTGCATCTGCACTTTGTCCAAGTTACTACTAGGTAAATAGCAGATGTCCCCATTTGGAATTTTTTTTGATGCTCCAGGTAAACCTCCATTTCGGAGAAGAGTGCCATTTGTTTTTACAGGATTGATGGTTGGCACAGGCCTGTGAGGATCATCACACTTCACAGGTGTCAGTCGTGGAGGAGGAGGAGGAGGGTTAGGTTTTCTCAGGACTGTGAGGATAGCAGAAGGGTGGACAGGTGGCTTGATGAGTGGTGCATTGGAATGCACTTTGATCTTCTCTAAGCTGGATGCGGTTGTGCTGCTGGAGCTGCTGTTCAGTGTATCAGTTTTGGAGCTGTCTGTCATCTCATCCTCCAGCTGTAGGTCAGAGGTCAGTGTGTCAATCTGGTCAACGACCTGCATGGAAATCAGAAGGCAAAAAAGATGAAGAACAGCCTAAAAGAAAAAAAAAAATATTAGGAAAATTTAACCTTCCCCTGCCCAGTTCTCCCCATGATATCATATTGAACAAATGATAAATACTAGCTACTCATTGACTTAAAAAAGGACAGGTGTACCCAGTTGCAATCACCAATAAAGCCGCAAACATTTATTATCTGGCTATTATGTGGAAGACACTGTCTTAGTCATTGGGCCAAAGACAAAAATGAAACAGTTCCTGTCCTCAAAAAGCTTATATTTTATGGGAAGAGACACTGTAAAATCAGAATGTTAGAATAAATAAGGTTTTGTAATATTACAGTTCTTTCCCTGACCCAGCAATTCAGAAATGGAAAAGGAAAGATGGAGGCTGGTGGCTCCAGAATTAGGAAGACTCCTTACATGAAGTACTTTTGTAAAGACAGAGATCTAAATTCACTCTTCACATAAATGGAAATAAAGTGTTCCAAAGTGAAATTGTTAAAAGAAATTAAGAAAATAGGTTTCTTACATGATTCATTACTGGGTTGTCTAAATCATAACATTATCAAGAACATGTGGGAGTAAATTAGACTTCTTGTTGTTGCTGTTGTTTTTAATAGTAGTAGTAGCAACAGTAGCATTAAAATGAGCTCCAATTTAGGAATGTAGTAGTTTGCTTGACCAGATTGAGACTAGCCATAAACCTAAAAAGGCAATAGGTAGTAGTAGTAGTAGCAGCAGCAGCAGCAGCAGCAGCAGCAGCAGCAGTAGTAGTAGTAGTAGTTAGAGAAGAGAGAAGAAGAGGAGGAGGAGAAGTTGCACTCAAAGCCCAGTTCAATTATCTAGAGTCTGAGTGAGAGACAGAAAAAATAAGGGAATATTAACCTGAGTAATATAAAGCTGGGACTCTGTGTGCTATAATACTGTTAACAAGATCTGTGAAGGGCTTGGATGTACCCTAAAACTTAAGCCAGTTAGGCTGTGGAGATACCAATAACTGGATCAGGACCTCAGCCAGTATAATCAAACCTCTTTTATGAACCTATGTATGTTCTAGTATCAACATATCAGAAATTTGTTATCTTTTATAAACTAACAGATGGCATATTCCCATACAATGAATACCAAGCTTGAAATATTTTGAAAAAAATATTTTGAAAATTCAATGAATAATCCTATAGCTAGGACATTGATCCACAACAATTTAATTTATTTTAATAGCTGTTACTAGACCAAATTTTCATAATATCTAAGCTACATGAAGTGAAAAAACTTTCAAAATATGGGAATCTATCAGAAGAAATCAAAACCACATGAGAAAAGGGTTAGTTATGTATAAGTCCTGTTGTCTAAGCTTCTATTCATTTTTCTAAACAAGTTTCAATAAGCCAGCAAAAGATGAGCTTATATTGTGATATTTTTATGTGTTTACAAATAGTATTTTTATCTGATTCTGAAATAGTCTCCAAAATATTAAACATAAAATAATAATATGAAGATGGCAACTTGTCCCAGGACCAACTTTATCTAAATTCCATAGGAAAAGATGAGAAGCAGATGAATTGCAACAAGAACAACAATAATAATTACTCATTCAAAATCAAATCAATTTTTGATGATATTAGAGGGTACTCCATAGGAGAATAGGGTAATGACAGCCAGGGAGATTTACAGTGGGGACTTTATGTTCCTTTGGATGGCTACAATAGTTGGGAAGATCTAGCACACCTGAAGCAATAGATAATTGGGCCATAATACATGACTGAATGGGTCAGCATGTTAGTCAATATAATGCATCTACAAAGTCAAAGAAATAGAAAAGATGGTATAACGTTACAAGGTGGATCTAGTTGGAACCATTATGGTGCTTGAAGACAGCAGACCAAACGGTGCTCCCTCATGTTCTGAAACCACAACAAAGCAAGAAAGACTGGAACAAATGAGAAGTAACAATACACACCTGCTAGAAATATGTCAGTGTCTCCATCACTGATTGCAAAAGCAGACGAAACATGAGCATGCATGAAATGGACTGAAAATATGAATGTTTACATTAAGTGTGAGAATTATAGAGATAACAAAATAAAATTGGAAACATCTTACCAGTAGGTAGCAAAAGCTTTATTTTGATTTTTGTCAATAACAGTCTCAGCTCCAAGTCAAACAAAAGCATGCTAAAGAAGAGTGTAGAGTAATTATAAGAATTAATTCAATCCCTAAACCAAGATTAGATGAAATAAGGCTTGAAACAGAGAAATGATTAAACACTGGAGATGAAAAGGTTGAAGAACATGAGGACATTAATATATTCTCAACATAAAATTCATATATTCTACAAAATAATGATATGGACAACAAAAGTACTGATAAGGTCTCAAATAAGTTTGAAGAGGTGATATACATACTTAGGAATTTCAAATATTTTTTGAGTTTGATGGCATGAATCCAACTAGCTGGCTTACTCTACCAAAATATAATATGAAAAATTTGTCATTTATGAAAAATCATAGTGAATATATTTATTCTTATATATATATATATATATTTACAGAATGTATTAAAAATGTTTCAGGACATGCTCACAGCACTGTATATGTTGGATATTGCCATGGTAAGAACCAAAGGAAATGTGAAGCATTTAAAAAATATTCCTAAGGACAGGCATCATCATGGTAGGAATAGCTTGAAAAAGTTATTAAAGACCTAAATAAAAACATTGGAATATTAAATCAGTATCTAGAGTGGTGTGCAAATTACTTTTTAAAAAAGTAAAATAACTGAACTGTTGACATATAATTAACCTTTCAGCTTCTGGCATCTTCATTTTTTTTATATGCAATGTTCTCATTTTGGGGGAATAATTTATTTTACATGATTTCCTAATGAGTTCACGAAATGTTGAAACATATTCTTAATTCCTCATAATGCTACCATGCACATTACCATTGATGAGGAGTTCACTTTTTCTGAATCTAAACTTGATTATAACCCATATATTTTCAGAGAAGTTTGAATCAGGTGAGTTTCTAGGCCACTTATGCACGTATATCATCATCACCTGGGTAAATTTATTAAACTTTTGTTATTTTTTCATGTTGTAAAGACTTGTTTTAGTATTCCTTTTCAATTTTGAGAGTTTCTATAATCCCAGAAAAAAACTGTGTTCATTAGTGCATCAATATATTTTTCAGAGTTCATTCTCTAAGTGGACAATACTTCTAGGCACACTGGAAATAAAAAAAAATAAATCTCCAAAAATTTTGAGGGGATATATATTTTATAGTCTGGTGAAAATGTCCAAATTTTACAAACTTAGATGTAGTTTTAACAATGTAATTGGCATGAAATTAAATGGAAAAAATAACAGTAATAATTACATTTAACTAATATTGCCTTGACCATGATATTATATTTCTTTTTAAAAGCATTTATAAGTTTTTTTTTTTTAATGTTGATCTTTTTGCTATTCTTCCAATTTCAGGAAGCTGACATGGAGAAGGAATCAATACTAATCCTTTCAGGCTCTCCATCACTCTGAAGACTTTTGCTTGCTTTCTGAGTATTCATTAAGCTCTTTTGTCTCAAATTTATTAGTCATTTTTTTCACTTTTTACCACATTGTCCTTTGTGCTTTGCTGTGGATTATCTTTTCTTTTCATTTTTAGCTTGAATGATCTTGGAACACTTGATTTCCTGATACGAATAGCTACTACAACTGTTCTAACAGCTGTTGATGTGTGCTTTTTAAATGCTACAACTGTTGAATGACTTCATGGAGTAATATCAATTCTTTTTTTCTCTTTTTATTTTTTATTTATTTATTTTTTATTTTTAATATGTGTTTTTAAAATTTTGGGTTACAAATTTTCTCCCTTCCTCCCTCCCCACCCACCCTCATTGAAAAGGCAAGCATCTCGATACAGGTTATAGATGTGTAGTCATACAGAACTCTTCCATAGTAGTCCTGTTGTGAAAAACTAAGTATATTTCCCTTCATCCTATCCTACCTCCCATTTGTTCTATTCTCTATTTTGACCCTGTCCCTCCTTAGAAGTGTTTGCTTTTGATGATCCCCTCCCTCAGTCTGCCCTTCCCTCTATCAACCCCCTGCTCTCTTGTCCCCTTCTCCCCTTATTTTTTTATATGGTAACATAGATTTCCACACCCCATTGTGCATGTTATTCCCTCCTTAAGCCAAATCCTATGAGAATAAGATTCACTCATTGCTTCTCACCTTCCCCCATCTCCCCTCCACTGTAAAAGCTTTTTCTTATCTGTTTCATGTGAGATATTTTCCTTTCTACTTCTCCTTTTTTCCTTCTCCCAGTATAATCCTCTCTCACCCCTTAATTTTATTTTCTAGATATCACCCCTTCATCTTCAACTCACCCTGTGCCCTCTATCTATCTATACATACATATAATTTTTTCCCTTTCACTACCCTAATATTGACAAATGACTCATGAGTTACAAATATCATCTTTCCATGCAGGAATGTAAACAGTTCAACCTTAATAAGTCTCTTATGATTTCTCTTTCCTGTTTACCTCCTCCATGTTTCACTTGAGTCTTGTATTTGAAGGTCAAATTTTCTATTCAGCTCTGGTCTTTTCCACAGCAATGCTTGAAAGTCCCCTATTTCACTGAATGACCATTTTTTACCCTGAAGGATTATACTCGGTTTTGCTGTGTAGGTGATTCTAGGTTGTAGTCCTATCTCCTTTGCCCTCCAGAATATCATACTCCATGTCCTCTGGACCCTTAATGTAGAAGCTGCTAATTCTTGTGTTATCCTGATTGTGTTTCCATAATACTTGAATTCTTTCCTTCTGACTGCTTGCAATATCTTCTCCTCGACCTGAGAATTCTGAAATTTGGCTACAACATTCCTAGGAGTTTTCCTTTGGGGATCTCTTTCAGGAGGTGATTGGTGGATTCTTTCCATTTCTATTTTGCCCTCTGGTTCTAAAATATCAGAACAGTTTTCCTTGATA